GACACTACGGTCGGTTTATAACCAGACATCGGTTGAAGGGGCCCGCGTCATCGGGTTCAACCGCACCTGGCTTCCGTACCTAAATCCTTCGTACGAGATGACCACTGAAGATGGCATCAGCTTTAATACCTCAGCCGTGCTCAGAATCATCGACCTCATCAGCGGCTTGGGTTCCAAGGCTAGCAGTTCCAGGAAGTGGCCCATATATGATAGAGAGACGGAAGACGCGGAGCTGTTCCTCTCGAAGGTCTTCGGTGTCTACCTCACTGAGGCTTTAGCACGCACGGGAATGGCTAGGCCCATGATGATGATACGAGAGGGCGACGACGAAAAGATGCAAGGTATCGATTTGAATGCACAGTACACTAACTCCGATGGAACGTTCAACGTCGAGCTGCTCCACTCAAATCAAACTCAATGGAACTTTGGCAGGGGTGTTGAAGTGAGGAACTACACTCTAACCGACTTGTACGACAGGATTCTCCCCGGTCTTCTGAATTTCGACTTCGACGTCAGGAGATACGGGTACGGAACGGGCCATCAGCGGAAGACCGTTACCTTCGCACGGGTGATGATGTACATCTACCTAGCAACGGTTGCGCTCTACGCCTTCACAGTCGGCTTTGCACACGCTGTCGAGTTGACTGGTAGGGGAAGGAGGCTACGAGTCCTCAGTGTAGTGCCGTGGGCGGACCTACAGGACCTGATCGTTCTCGCGCTCAAGACGCCTCCTCCGAGAGATGCCGACCTTGCGGACGCTGCCGTGGGCGTCAGCTCCCCGAGTGTGTGGAAGAAGACGGTGAAGGCTCGAGCAGATGAGCAACATAATGTGCAGCTCGTGCTAAACGACGAGCCGGGGATGGAAAGGTTGGATGTCACTGGGAAAGAGAAGTACTTTTGATGGTTCCCGCTGTTTCGAGATTTCGTTGATTACCTCACTTCAACTCAATCTTGTTGTTCGCTCAATTAATTCGTCACTATGAAGCAACCATGTGCATCGAAGAAATTAATGATAGATAAACTACACAACTAGTCACCTTCTTCGGAAAAACTGTAAATATGACGCCAGGCGGCATCAAAATCACATCTGATGGCCATGTTCCCTTGGTACAGTCAGCATCGGGCTAGTTTGTAGCTTGAAAAGGTAACTTACTTACGGGAATTTCCTCAAGTCTGGGCATCTCTACCTTTGGTTTTCCTTTGTCTACGTTTTCCTGCACATCATTGGTTTTCAAAATTTGATTGGTCTGAACGCGCACGCGGACATGGTCCCTGAAGTATGAGGCCGTTGGATGGTGAACGCACGGAAGCGGAGTAGAAATTTGGATTAGTACCAATTCGACTCATCATGAGAGATGCAACTAGGAAGTAAATCTGCTCACATCACACTTGCTACTGGATTATTACAGAGAAACAAGAATCTGAGCCGATCATCGGCTTTGTAACGTCACTGCATCGGCCCAGTTTCACACGTCGCCCAAGGGTTACCGCTTGTGAAACGCTCAATCATTCCCCTGCCTAATACTTAGTCACCCAGCTGGGCCTCACCGAGCTCTCACCGCGTTCATTTATGGCAACCTGCCCCAAACCCGACGGCTCAATTCCGTCTCCCTGCAGGACTGCATGTAGGGATGCCGATCGTAGGCGTGCCTGCACAGTCTTCGCACTCGCACCTCAGCGGCTCGCCTCGCGAAGCGACGGATCCCGCGCGCAACAGGAACAGACGAAATGACATCAGAAAGCAACCGAATTGTCGGAAGTCCGTTCTCGTGCCAAGGGACAGGGCAGCGATCGAGTCACGTATGCGACCCTGAGGTTTCTGAAGCTCGATCTGACAGGTGATCTCGGACCGAGAGCCTGGCTTAAAAGGTGCATGCATCCGCGAATCTGGGGAACCGTTGGCCCACGATCAACCTAAATCTCATCTCGATTCACCATGAAAGAACCCACGCGCAAGCTGAGATATAATGTTGCCACCTCGGTCGATGGCTTCATTGCGCCCCCCGATGGGTCTACGGACTGGATTGTGATGGACTCAAACATCGACTTCGACGCGCTGTACGCGCAATTCGACGCGTTCCTGATGGGGCGCAAGACCTATGAGTGCATGTTCGCCATGGGCGAGCAGAACCCTTTGCGAAAACAACCAAAAGAAAATCTCACCGTCTTCAGTCGCACCCTGAAAGCGGAAGATCACCCCGCCGTGACGGTTGTGTCGAAGGATGTCATCGGGCACGTGGCGGAGTTGAAGAACGGCGAGGGCCGGGACATTTGGCTGATGGGCGGGGGCGAGCTAGCGGGCTTGTGCCTGAAGGCCGGAATGCTAGACGCGGTGGAGGCGGCCATCATGCCGGTCATGTTGGGGAAGGGAACACGGATGCTCGAGGAGGCTTCGCTGATGCCCCACGGCGGATTCAAGTTGGAGATGGTGGAGAGCAGACATCTGGACGCGAGCGGGATCGTTATGTGCAAGTACAATGTCAGCAGAGGGATGGCCTGCTCGCTTGGAGAAGCGTTGACATTTTGCTGATCCACGGATGGATAGGCTGAGCAGAAGCAGGGATTAAGACCCCACCCCAAGCAACGAAATCCCCCCACAACTGATAACGCGTCGCGTCGCGCAACCTGCATACTACATAATATGTATCATCCTAGTTAGCTAGGTTTTTCACTACTATAACGATCGAAATAAAATCTAAAAAAAATACTATAATATTTTATATACTTAGTTATACCCCTAATAACCTCACTAGTACTATTATAGCTATATAGGGTAGTTAGCCTGTTTTTATAGCTACGAGAGAATAAGGGGTATTATATACTACTATTTATAGCTATTTAAAAGGTGCTATATTAAAATATAAGTTAAAAGTATATAAATAACGCCTAAGTATAAAGTAGGAGTTAGCTCTAATAACTTAGGTTTTTATATAAAGCTCCTTAAGCTTTACGCTTAGCTATTAATATGTATAAATGTTTACTAAATATATCTTTTATGTTACTAGTGATATATAGCTACTTAGGAGGAAGTAGATAGAGGGCTTTTTATACTAAAACCTAGCTATTAAGACGCTTAAAGTATAGAAGATTAATACTTAACGCGTTAAAGATATTACTATTAATAATATTAAGTAGTTTTTTATGATTTTTAACCTTTTAGAGGTTAAGAAGATATTAATAAGCTTTTAATAGAATATAGATAAAATAGGAATTATAAAAGGGATATAAAAGGATAATTTAGTACTAAGATATTCTAGAAAACTTTTAATATTTATCTAGAGCTTTAAGGATTATATTTAGACGTTTATTATTAAGTATATTTTAGCAAATAAGTAAAGCTTACTTTTACTTATTATCTTTAAGGGTAAAACTATATAGTAATAGTAGTTCCTTTAGGATCTTATAAATTTTACTTTATAGTATTTTATATTATTAAAGAATAGATAGATATTAAATAGTATAAGTATTAAGTAGCTAGAGAAGGTATTCTTACTTAGAATAGCTTTAGAGGCTAAAAGATTATATTTTAAGCATCTTCTTATTATAGATAGCTATAGAAGCTATATCTCTAATAAGTTTATATAGAAATATTATATTAATAATGTTTATTTAGTATGCTTATTAGCTTATTTATTATATTTTATATAGCTGCTAGATATATTAGTTTTTTTGCTTCTAAAGGGGTCTTATAGATATTATTTAGAGGAATATAACTATATATTTAACTTAGTATTAATTAGTAAGTAAAACTTCCTCTAGTACTATTTATATATTTATAGTAATACCTTCTAGCTTTATATTATTAAGGTAAGCTAGAAGGTAATAGGTATATAGCCTATTAATATATTAAAGCTACTTATAAGTAGGTTTTTTTATACCCCTATAGTAATTAATATTCTAAAGGCCCCTATATAGCATAAGAAGCTAGTAGATATTATAGAGGGTTTTAAGAATAATATTATAAAGATACTAAAGTCTTCTATTAATTTACTATAATATAAATAGTTATTTAATAATAATATAAGGGGTAAAATGAGGTTATAATAACTTTAGCCTAACCTAGTTATCTATATCTTATTCCTAGAGAAAATTAGGAAGTAATTAGACCTTAATAATATAGTTACAGCTAATAACTAGTAGATTATTTATATACTTAAAACTTAGGTTAAAAAATATAAGCTAAAACTAAGAGGAAAAGTTAAGCTAAAACTAAATAAGTAATTTATAATTATTAAAGATATTTAGAAGAAGTAATAGGAGGTTTAGAACTATCTAATTAAGTTAGAAGTAGTATTAATTAATAGCGATTCTTCTAATAATAAGGAGAGTATAAAATTATATATTATTATTGCAGATTAATAGAGATATTTAGCAATATATTAAAATATAATTATTGTGGTGAGGGTCTAAATACATGAAAATTGCGTTATTAGTTGTGGGGGGATTTTGTTGCTTGGGGTGGGGTCTTACAGTTGACTGAGGAATACCCCAAAAGTTGCATTTTCAACCTCACGAATATCCAAAGCATGGACAAATTGATAATTCCGTATTGATCGCTATTGAAGCTGGTAATGATGACACGATCGATGACTTGCATGTTCATTTCTCGACATGGCCAATCCCGTGACAATTTGATACTGCCAGCACGTCAAAAAGGACTTTTGTACGATCCGTACCGCGCGATCACGCCACGATTTATAATCGAGGTCACTAAGGAACAACCTGAAGCCCGATTGTACCTCGAGTTTGTCAGTCTTAACCCGTCGGATAGATTGCGGGTCTGAAGGATTCTGGTCGCCTTCGATGACCGTGTGGGATAGGCATGACAGCGAGCTTAAGTCCGCCGCGGGCGATCTTCTTACCTCCGCTAAAACCCCAGTTACCGTGGTAGTATGATCGCATACAGCAGCATCTGGCGTCATATTAGGTAGACATCTTCCATCTCGTGTGCACCTTCACAATCGTTCATTTCACACCAACCCGCCGGGGAAAATCTCACCATGTCTCCCAACAGCAATCAACAGACGGTTCTCATCGTAGGTGGCACCGGTAAAGTTGGCCGGCAAATCACCAAGCTCCTGGCCAACACCGATACCCCCACCTACCAGTCCTCCCGGAGCGGCGCATCCACCACGGAGCCGGGGGCCGAAAATGTCAAGCCGATCGCCTTCGACTGGGCCGATGAGAAGACGTGGGCCGCGGCCTTGAAGTCCGGCGCAACAAGCGTCTTCCTCGTAGCGCCGCCCGTGCTCGACATGCTGCCCCCAATGCAGTCCTTTATTGACCAGGCGCGGCTGGCTGGAAAGGCCAAGCGGTTCATTCTCTTGAGTGGAAGTCCGATGGAGGCAGATATCAATGGCCCCGCGATGAGTCGGCCGCATGCGTACCTGAAGGAGCTTGGTGACAGGGGTGAGGTGGAATGGGCCGCGCTGCGACCGACATGGTTCCAACGTGAGTACAAGTCAACTGAAAAAGATGAGATGGATGCTAATGAAATGGCAGAGAACTTTGCTGAACAGCTGAATCACATCAATTCCATCAAGGACGAAAGCACTGTCTACTCCGCCACAGCAGACGGAAAAATTCCATGGATCGCGACCGAGGATATTGCTGCGTGCGCATTCCAGCTGCTTCTACAAGATGACGCACCCAACGACGAATATCTGCTGTTGGGGTCGGAGCTACTAAGCTACGATGACGTACGTGTTCAACAGGTCCGTTAACAGAGGCCATTGATGTCTAACTTTGGTGTTCAGATTGCCGAAATTCTAACCGAAGTGCTCGGTCGCAAAATCATACACAAGAACCTCTCACGAGAGGGGCTCGAGGATCGATACGTAAACTACGGCCTGCCGCAGGACTACGCGGAGATGATGGGTGCCATGGACACGAACATCAAGAATGGGAGCGAGAACCGGACGAACAGCGTCGTCCTAGCAGTGACTGGCAAGCAGCCGAGGAAGTTCCGCGACGTAGCCAAGGAGCTGAGGAATGTTTGGGCGACGGAATCGTGAACCGCTACGTAATTGGCGGGGTTGGTTGTGCCTGAAATGAAGCGTCTCGTAGATCTGCAAACGCTCGCGAGGTGAAATGCCCCATTCGCAGACAAAGATGTCTATTGTCTCGGAAATTATGCCACATGGAAATTTGACCCAGCTAGAAAACAGGGTTGGGAAATTGAAAAAAGGTTTTTGTTTTCAGTCAGCGACAGCTAGTGTCCGTTTCCAGCCGAAATGTTCGCACATGCTTGTGCGGGGGACCCGCGCTAGGTTGAAACAAGTCATGAGATCACAGGTACTAGTCCGCAGATGTGTAAACCTGCAGGGCGAATGGACCTCTTTCTTCACGCTCAATATTGCTCTAGAAGTTTCATCCTCAATTTGGCCATGAGATAAACCCTCAAACTCGAATGTCGTCAACATGGAATCCTCGTTCGTAGACATTGAGGATGATCGGCCGACAACCCCTGGGAACGGACCGGAGTCCGGCGGCGAGAGGCCGAATCCACTCACGTACCCGAAAAGCACCATGCCATTCAGTCAGGACCTGTTCGAGAGCCCAACAACAGAGTATCGCGGGTGCCCATTATGGGCATGGAACGGGACGTTGGAAAAGAAGAGGCTGCTGCGCCAAATCGACTACCTCGAAGAAATGGGCATGGGTGGATTTCACATGCATGTACGGACCGGACTTGACACCGCTTACATGGGCCCAGAGTTTATGGATCGGGTGCGGGACTGCGTCGACTACGCCGAGAGCAAAGGCATGCTCGCCTGCTTGTGAGACGCATGTGACCCAACGACGATGGGCTGGAATTGCTAATTCTCATTTAGATACGACGATGACAGATGGCCGTCCGGGGCTGCTGGGGGCAAGGTGATTGAACAGTACCCTGAACACAAGACTAAGCACATCTTGTTCACGCTTCATCCTTATGGGACTGTCGACTTAGAAGGGTTTGTTATTTGAGAACTGGTGATGAAAGCTGGCTGACATCCTCTAGTGAATGCTCTCCAAGTTCGGCAAAACCATGCCGAAGTGAGGAAGGATACCTCCTCGCGAAATTCTCAGTTACTCTGGATGAAAATGGACGACTCATATCAAGCCGAAAGTTGGACAATGAGGAGGATGCCGATCCTGGGGGTAGGGTATGGTACGCCTACGTCGAGCACAATCCGCCGTCACCTTGGTTCAACGGCCAGACGTACATCGACACAATGAGCACTGAAGCCATGGGCCGCTTTATTGAGAGCACTCATGAGGTGTACAAGACAGCGGTCGGAGACAGGTTCGGCTCGACTGTGCCGTGCATCTTTACGGACGAGCCCCAGGTTGCCATCAAGAGTCAACTATCCAGCCCTGACGGCCTCGAAGATGTCTTCATGCCATGGACGCAGGACCTGCCCGATACTTTCAAGGATGCGTTTGGCAGCGACGCCGACCTGATCAGCGGGATTCCAGAGCTTTTCTGGGACCTTCCAGGAGACACACCAAGTTTGACACGCTACCGCTTCCCAGCGCCTCCACAAGGGCAAGTAAATTAACAACGCAAATAACCTAACCAAGCAAAGTGAGGCTATCACTACCACCTAATCGATTAATTCGATATCCCTTAATTAAATTGAAATATTTGATATCTTATATTATTTATAGATTAACTAATAAGAAGCTATAGATCAGCCCCTACTTTAGTTTTTTAAGTATAATTAGTTACTAAAATATAACGCTATTAATAACTTATTAATTACTATATATAATAATAAAGATATTTAGATAGCCTTTATAATACTAATTAATACCTAATTAATATAAAACTTTCTAAGGAAGTAGAAGTTATTATAGTGGTTTAAATAATATAAATAATATTATAATTAGATACTATTTCTAAAAGTTATTTATTACTTTAGCTTATATATATTATTTATACTTCTTATTATTTTTTTTATTTTTAAAGTTAAGATATTAACTACTACTACTACCTCCTTATTAACTAATAATATATATATATTATTAACTATTATATGCCTATATATCTCTATATAGATTATAATTACTTTACTTATTATTATCCCTCTAAATCCTATAATTAATAACCTACTAACTATTATTATTAATAATAAATAATATATACTTAAAGTATAGCTTTTATATAAGAGAGGGTAAGGTTAATTTAGTTAGATTTAAAATTATAGTAACTTCCTTATTAAGGTTATTTAGAGATATATAGTAGGGTCCTACTAGAGTTACTAGTAATATAACGCTAAAAGCTAGCTAAAAGTCTTTAGTATTACTACTATATCTGCTTTATAAAAGCACTTACTATAGTATATTAACTTAAGCTTTTTCTCTATAATAATCACACTTTAATAAGGCTAAAGTACCTATATAATCTATAAGATCTCTCCTTAGTTAGATAAGGACTTTAATAGTATTCTAATATTATTATTAATAGCTATATCTATACTACTTTCCCTAAAGAGACTCTAACTTAGCTATATAAATATACTTAAAGCTAAAATAACTACTCTATATAATCTCTATATAGCTTTAATTATTTCTACTAACTTCTTATTTACTTACTTTAAGAACTCCTACTTCTAGTAAATACTATAGTATTATAGTATAGAGATTACTAATAAGATACTATAGAGTTATTTATCTATTTAGAACTATTTTAATAATATCTACTACTATAGTAAGAACCTAGTAATTAAAGAACTTCACGTAATAAGGTTAAAAATATATCTATTATTTAATTTATAGATATCCTTAAATATTTACGCCTTTATAGGGGTTATTAATTACTTTATTAATACTAATAGTGCCCTATAATCCTATCTTCTAGCCTTCTATTAATATTATAGTAATTATAGTAATACTACCCTTATAGTAACCTTTATTAATATTATTAACTACTATTATATCTAAGATTAAATTAGAGTGATTATCTTTAATAATACTATAAATAATAATATCTACTTCTAAGCTTTCTATAGAGAACTAAACCTAAAGATAATAGAGATAGACGTTTAAGCTTAATATATATAGTGTTATAGCTATATCCTTAATCTCTTAGCTTAAGTGTTCCTATTTAGTATTAATAAGGAGACTCTATATACTAAGTTATAGTTCTATAAGCTTAAAGGTTATAATAATAATCTAAAGTATTAGTAGTAGTTTAAACCTATTAGCTAGCTTTATAATATTATTAAATTTATTTAGTTATCCTTATAACGCTATAAATAGTACTAAAAGGCTATAGTAGAGGTTAATAAAGACTCTAACTTCTAGATCTTCTTAGAGTTACACTAAGAAGCCCTCTTTATCCTAAATAATAATACTTACTAGAATAGTATATATCTTATAATCTAGAGAGCTATAGAGAAAAAAACAGAGATTTAAGCTTTTATACTTTTAAATAATAATAATAATAATACTAAGTAATATATCTCTAAAGAAAACCTTCTATTCTTAGAAGATTAGAAAATTTTAAGTAAAATAAGTATAATTTTAGAGCTTTTTTACTAATAAATAAAGAGGTATAAAAGCTAAGGTATTAATAATAGTTATAGTTAACTTTAAGAGGTTATAATAAGTATAAAATATTTTTTTTATATCTTATTAACTAAAAGGACTATTATAACGCTATAATCTCTCTATTTATTAATAATAATACTAAAGATTAATTATAGTAGTTATAGAGATATTTAGGCTAAGGTTAATATAACTAATTTTATATATAAGCCCTCTTAACTTATATTTATAAAAACTAAATATTACTAGCTTTATAATTAGCCTTATAATTTAACTCCTTTAATAAGAAGTAGTAGTTCTTCTTCTATATTAGTATTAAACTAATATAGTAGAAGTTTTTTTTATATTATAATAAGATAAAAGAGTTATTATTATTTTCTATAGTATTAATCTTATATCTATTATTAGGTATTTTATACTTATAAGATATATAGCGTTATAAATACTAAGAGGGATAAGTTAATAAGGCTCTTAAAAGCTTTAGAGATTTCTTTAATAAGTAGTATTATTAATTTAAGCTAGAAGTAGTAGTATTAGCACTAGATAGGTAGCTAGTAGTTATCCCTATTAATATTAAAGCTTAAGATAATAATAATAGTTACTACTAGTAGTAAGTTAATAGCTAGTACTACTATATACTACTTTAGGTTAATAAGCTTAATCTCTACTTCTAAAACCCCCCTAAAGCTATTAATAATCCCCTTAAGTAGTAGCTAGACTACTTAGAGATATACTTAGTACTCTTTAAGCTAGCGATTAATATCCTCGCTATTCTTATAATATCTACTAACTATAAGAGGGCTTTTAGCTAAGCTAAGTTAACCCTTATATTATAGAAGCTCTTAATAAAGCCTAGTATTATAGAGAGTCTCTAGCTAATAAAGAACTAGCTAAAGAGGGGGGTTATACTACTTAATAATAACTTTAAGCTATTAGGAATAGTATAAATAGCTTTAAATAGGTATAATGTAGTTTTATATAGTAATTGATTTGTTTTGTTTGTATATTAGCTAAGTAATCAAAAACACTAAAAAAAAGAGCTAAGTTAATAAGTATAGGGGTCAAAATTGCTTTGATTGCCCTTGTGGAGGCGCTGCCGCTTCCATGACCACATAAGTGAGCGCTTCGTCACCTCGTTCCTTGAACTTCTCAGCACCTGGTGCAAGAAGAATAATATTCTTCTGAATGGTCATATGATGGAAGAGCCGACACTCCGACTACAAACAACCGCCCACGGCGAGGCCATGCGATGCTACCGAAATCAGTCACTGCCCGGAATGGACCTGCTCAACGACGGGGTAGAGTACAACACCGCGAAACAATGCACCAGCGTCGCGCGCCAAAACGGGATACGCGGGGCTATGAGCGAGATCTACGGCTGCACGCACTGGTACTTCAGCTTTGAGGGACACAAGGGCTGTGGAGACTGGCAGGCCGCCCTCGGCATCACGTTCCGAGTACAGCATTTGAGCTGGTACAGCATGGCGGGCGAGGCAAAGCGGGATTTTCCTGCGAGCATCAACTATCAGAGCCCGTGGTACAAGGAGTACAAGTATATCGAAGACCACTTCGCCAGAGTCGGCGTCGCCATGACCCGCGGGCGCGCCGTGACGCGAGTGGCCGTCATTCACCCCATCGAAAGCGCTTGGCTTTGTTTCGGACCGAACAACAGTGGCGATGACGAACTCGGGCGACGGGATCAGTACTTCGCTGAGTTGACGAACTGGCTGCTTCAAGGGCTGGTCGACTTTGACTTTATCTCCGAGACTCTGTTGCCCAGTCAGATCGGAGAGGATGTGTCTGCATCACTGAAAGTTGGCCATTGTAGTTACGATGTGATCATTTTACCTCAGCTGAGAACCATTCGCTCAACTACGCTCAGCATTGTCAAGAGGTTCGCCGCTGCTGGGGGCAAGGTCATTATCGCTGGTAATGGGCCAAGCCTAGTTGACGCCCAGGCCGTATCCCCGGATTTGAGCCTGGACATTGAGCCCTGTACGAAGTTGGCATGGGATCAGGCTGAAATATTGAACAACCTCTCCGAGAACCGGGATGTGGCCGTTGAAGTGAAGGATGGAAAGCCGGCACAAACTCTGCTTTATCAGATGCGTGAAGATGGCGAAGAAAGATTTGTCTTCATCTGCAATACGGACCGTAGCAAGCCCCACGATACCACGGTCAAGATCAAAGGCGACTGGGAAGTTGAAGTCTTGGACACATTCAAGGGCTCAACGCATCAGCTCAAGGCAGAAATTGACGGAGGCTGGACAGTCTTCGACCACAGGTTTGAAGGATGTTCCAGCCTATTGCTCCGTCTATCTGCAGTGCCAGCTGAAAAGCTCTCCTTCGTTGATGTTGCCGGCGCTGTGACTTTGTCACCACCAAAAGCGGAGTCAGTCGAGCTGAAACTCGAGGAAGTGGTGTTATCCGAGCCAAACGTCTTGCTATTGGACTACGCCTGCTACAGAATCGACGATGAGCCATGGGAAGACTCGAATCGCCAAGAGATTCTTAAAATTGACAACGAGATCCGGTCCCGGCTGCGACTGCCAGCAAAAGGCATGGCATGGAAACAGCCATGGAGTGTGCCCCCATCAAAACGCTTGCCAAGGGTCTATGTTGATCTCCGCTTCGAGTTCGAATCAGAGCTCATTATCAAAACACCTACCTACCTGGCGATGGAGAACCCCGAAAACGCCAGAATCACAATCAATGGTCATAAGCTGCCCGTGTACGACGCGAAGCTGTCGTGGTGGGTCGATGAGGACATCAAGACTGTGCCGGTGCCGAAGAGGGCCATCCGCAAGGGAAAGAACGTCATTGAGCTCAGCATGCCGTTTGGTGTCTTGACGAACCTAGAGAGGATCTACTTGCTGGGCAGCTTCAGCATAGATTTCAAGAACAACAGGCCGATTGTACGAGAACGCCGACAGAGTCTAGGCTGGGGAGACGTCGTCGCGCAGGGACATCCGTTCTACGCAGGAAACATGACTTACAACTGCAGCTTCTCGCTCAACACGCGGTCCAACGTCACCCTTTCGATCCCACATTTTGCCACGCCTGTGGTCAAGGTTCAATGGGGCAAGGAACAGAGCGACCACATCGCACTTCGACCCAGAGCTCTGGATCTAGGGGAACTAGATGGCGGGAGGCATGATATCACCATCACAGCCTTTGGGTGTCGGTACAACGCTTTCGGCCACATTCACTTGGCTGATGGAATCCCGGGATGCTCTCCCGAGCAGTGGCGGAGTAAGTAATCTCACTCAACAAAGTGCATTTGCCTTTTTGCTGACAGGAACAAAGCTGGCGGTGCAGCTTGGAGCGATGAGTACATGTTGAAGCCCGTAGGAGTGTTGGAGAAACCGTCCATGCGAGTCGAGCCAAAGGCCGATGCCGGCGAGGACTGGGTTGTACTGACTGAATAACGTAGAGGGAGAATAATAATAGCTAAGGTGCTGTCTAACGCAGAGATCACTATAATTTAAAGATACGTAGGCGGATAAAAGAATTTCACTGTCTTTTAGCAACCCCTACGCTGGTTCCAACTGTGAGATCTTATGGTAAGGTAGTTTGATTATGTGTCATCTCGATGCTGACGACAACTTGATGGTCTTTCCACTACATGTAGGTATTGGACGTGTACCGTCTGTCGAGGAAGATGCCTAAACTGTCCAGCTATAACTGACCAACTCTTATAACACGCTTTTCCATTGCCTGCAGTATCCTGAATTATCAAACACATTATTGCCTATAAGAACAGGGGATTAATTATTTAATTATTTAACCCCTAAAGAGCTCAGGCAGTTGCCTAATCCACAGCCCTATTCACTCTACAACCCCCTAGGCAATCAATCTATTGCTAAACAATAGAATTAGCCTGACGTATAATCAAAGTTAAGGTTAATACTAGAGAAGAGGGTTTAACATTTATTGTAAACTAACTATAACGTATATATAGTATTTATATGAATAAAACAGCTTAATTCCTTCTAAATTAGAGTTTAATATAAAAGGTTTTTTAAGGAGTAGATCCTAATATTAAGTTTATAGTTACAACGCAGCCCCCCCGCAAAAAGACTACAGCAAAATTCACCCTATACGCAGGCATAATTCTAGAAACACTATATAGGCACTTTAACCTATACCCTCTACTAATTAAGGAAAACAGTACAAAAACCCTATATATTCCTACTAATAAGCAAACCTTATATAAAGTTAAATACACACTCTAGCTAAATAGACTAATAGAATAGTAATAACGCTAGCCGCATAGTATAAAGCTAGTAGCACTACATATAGTAGGGCTAATTATATTAAGACTAAAGGGGTTACTAAGGCTCTTATAGCTTAGTAATACTACTAAATAGAGATAACTCCTTAACTAAAGAGGTTATTATAAGAAGTTCTCATAGCTAGAAGTATAAAAAGCTCTACTACTATATATAGAGCTTTATACTTTTCCCTTTTCTTTTTCCTTACTAACCTATAATAAATCTTTTATAATATCTACACTATATAAAGAATATAAGAATACTAACCCTATATAAAGTACACCCTTCTTTAAGAATATAACTAAGGATATTACTATATAGAATAATATCTATATACTAAATAAAACCTTTAAGTTTAATATATACTCTATCCCTAATTAAAAACGCTTTATTAAAGTTATATTAAATAGAACTTTTAGTAATACCCCTCTAGAGGACTTTATTTACTAAGTAATTATAATAATAAGAAGACTTAATAACCTTAGTATAAAAGCTATATATATCTCTAGCTATCCTAAAGAGTAGCTTTTCTTTATATAAACCTTCTATAATACTAAGATAGATATAGCTTAAGCCCTAGCATAAGCCTAATAAGGCTTCTAAGTAGTAAGCTAATATTAAATACTCTTTAGGGAAACAACATATAAATATCAGTAAGTACGCTTTACACTAACTAATAGAGAGAGCGTTACTAATAATAGCATAGCTATAAAGGCGTTAGCTAGCCTAATTAAATAAGAAGAATAGCAGATAGCAAAGCAGTAATAGGGATAGTATTTAATAGTAGCATAAGTAATATATAAGAGAGAGGATAGGTTAATAGTTTAATAGTTAGTAATTAAGTAATTAAGTAATTATAAACTATATTATTACTAAAGTGAAGTTAAAGATAGTGAAGTTATTAACTAATATGTATATATAAGTGCAGCTGAGGTTAGGAGAGTTACAATCACATAACTGAAAGCTATATATATTATTAGGAAGCGTAAAGTTAGGAGGTTTATCGCTCTAAGTAGGTAAAAATCATAGTAAACAGCTAGAGGCTATAAATCCTAATATATTAGAATATTATTAGTTTAAATAAATAGGTTAAAAGTAAGTTATTTTATACTTTCTTCTAAATATAAAACTATTTTAGATATTTAAAAGTATTATAATATACTCCTCTAAGTTTAAAAAAGCTTAAAAACTTTAATTTTATATAACTAATACTATAAAATCTAAATATATATATAAAATACTATAAATAGATATAAAAAGAAGTAATTAATAAAAAAAACTAATAAAAAAATAACTTTATAGCTTTATTATTAAATTATAAAAAAGAAAATAATTTTTTCTTTTATATATTTTTTATTATAATTAAGATTATAAGTATTAAAATAGTAATTAATATTACTATTTTACTTAATAGAAATAGAGGCTTTTTATTAGCTTAAATAAGAAGGTTAAAGTAGTTATTAAAGTAGTAAAATAATAGTAATAATAATATCTCTTATATTATTTTTATTTCTTAATTTTCTTTTTTTTATTTATATTATAATTAATATATATATTACTTATTTTATATCTATATATAAGTATATAGTTATATAGTAATTATAATACTTATTATTTAATTATAATCCTATTTTTAATACTAATTATATTATTTAGATATTTTTTAAAAAGACTAAAGCTAAATATATAGCTATAATAACTAAAATAAGAACTACTTTTATTAATAAGAAGTAAAAAGAGAGAGAGAAAAAAAAGAGGAAAGTAATAATACTTTTCTAGTTTTTTTAGAGCTTAAAAGCTTTATACTTAAAAGTAAATTACTTTATTTCTATTCTATTATTTTAAAGTTCTCTTATTATTATAAACTTTTTACTTTATTTTATTATTCCTATAAATTAATTACTAACTTAAGTTATTTTATAAAAGTTAAAACTAATAAGTTTAAAAAAAGTAAAAAGTTTATAAGGAATAAAAAAGCTAAAGAGATATATAATTTATAGTTTATAACTCTTATTCCTCTATTTATTTATAAATTATACTAAAAATATAAGTAGAGTATATCTCTAATTTATAGTTCTAATTAAGTTATTATATTATTTATTAACTTCTAAATAGAAATAAAAGTTTTAAAAGTTAAAAATTAAGAAAAAGAGTAGCTATTACTACTAAATAATAAGATTTACTTATTTTATTTATAAAATATTTAATAAAGTATATCGCTTAATATATATATACTTAATATAAAATAAAGAAGTAAATATACTCTTTATAAAAAAAAAAAAACTATATATCTTTATACTACTATTTATTTCTATATTAAAGTTTTAATTCCTTAAAACTATATATAAAAGTATAGATAAAACTATATATTCTATACTATAATATTTATATTATTAATTATTTAGCTAACTATCTACTAAATTATCCTTATTCTTAAGAGAACTATACTCTAAAAAGCCTTTAAAACTTATAATAAAGCTAAAATAAAAGCTAAAGTAAAAGCTAAAACTAAAATAGAAAGTAGAAGTAATAATAAAATAACTATTAAAACTATAGCTCTTTTTTTAGTATTAGCTATTATTTTATTAGTTAAGCTTATTATAGAGGATATATTAATCTCTAGTATTTTATATATTAATTTATCTTTTAAAGTAATTATTAGTCTCATAAGACCAGCTAGCTAGTAGGGCACTATAGGCAGCAAATATCATATTATATTAACTGCATTAGTAGTAATATATATAAGGTTAACTGCATTAGAGGTAGTAGCTGTAATTACAGCATTAATCGCAGAGGCTAGCACCTTATATAATCACTAATTATATAAAGCGCGCCTAGCTTAATTAACACTATAATAAGCTAGTATTACTAACACTAGCAACTTTCTCTTTTTACTAGTATTAATATAATTAATAGTAACTATAATATAATTCAAAAAGAAGTTATTAAATAATATATAACGTAAAGAGCAGTAATTACTAGTAATTATAGTAATTACCTATAACCCCTACTATAGTAGTTACTCTATAACTATTACTTAATCCTACTCTAAACTAATGCTAGTAATTAGCACTACTTAGGCCTATATAACCTATCCCTCTATCTATATTATTACTAAGTTTATATTAAGGAAGTATATAAAGTATTAGTTAGGCTTCACTTTAGTAAAAATATTAGTAAGGTTATTATCACTATTAATCTATTATATTTTATATAGCTTATAATATTTATATAACTACTATAAAGCTATAATATTAATTATTAAACACTTCTCTTTTATAATACCTAACTTAATAAAGTATTTATATAGTAAATATAAATTAGTATAAATAATAATAAATATTAGAGGTAAGTTAAGCTGTTTAGTAATTATTTAAAAGGTTATAAAGATAGTATAAGCTATATTAATACTAGTAACTATACTATAGACTTTAGAAACTAATACACTTTAAATAACTTACTTACTCTTTATTAAACTAAAATAAATAATATTACTATTAATTATAAACTTATTCTTATTAAAAAGAGTCTTATTAATAAGAATAATAGCAAAACTAAGCTATAATATTAGGTCAGCATTATTAGCAAATAAGCTATTAATAAAAACAAAAAGTTTAATAGTTAATAAATTAATAAGTATAAATATTAACCTTTATACTAGCAAAGCTATCTACTACTATAGTTATATATTAAAAGCTTTAATATTATTAAGCAAAAGGTCTTAATACTAAATAGCAGTTAATAGATTATAATATACCTTAAGCTAGCAGATTAACGTAATATACACTCTATATACGCATTATTTAATATATTACTTCTTAATAATATTAAAAGTAGTATTAGTATTAATAAAAGCAAGCTTCTTACTTTAACCCTTCTAATAGAAGATAATAGTTCCTAACTTATTAATACTAATAACACTACTATTAAATATTAATAATTAGTTAATAATAAGTTATTACTTAGCTTTTACTATAAATAAAGCTTTAATTAAAGCCTCATCCTTATAAGCTAAAAAACTAATATTAGTAAAGCCTAAAATATTATCAGTTTATATACTAATAACTATAAAATCAGAGTTAATAGCAGAAAGGACTAAAAAGTAGGAATTATAGCTTAAAATAACTATCTAGAGAACTTCTCTATAATAATAG